AGCAACGTCCTCCACAACTAGACTGAAGAACAAAAGGATAGCAACTTGTCTGTTCCCCTTCCCCCAATTCCCCAATAAAAATCTTAAAAAAAAAAACCAAAAAACTACCAATCCTTAAGCTACTTAATAAACACTTCACTGATTTGAGGTGGGGCTAGGGCATCTTTAGTAGAAGCTACCCATTTCCAGGAGAGCTAATACACAAAATTTCACTTTTAACAACTGTATTTACTCAACTATGCAAATCCTCAATATCAAGGAAAAAAGGTTAACCAGTGAGGTTTAAGTACACTTTAGTTTCTATTTCCCCAAAGTTTAAGTATTTGTCCTTCACATTGACCTTTTAAGTAACACTTAAGTATGTAATTAATTTCAATGGAAAAAAAACTGGGAAGAAAACAAAATATTCCTCCTAAATAGGCAGTGCAGGATATGTAATGTAATACCATTCTGGACTATGGCCAAGATTCATAAATCTTACCTTGGTGAAGGTGCAAACTTCAGTGGTTGTTTATCAGCTTTGTAAGTAAAAGACACAACTGCATATGGACACACGTGTCTTGGTCTTCGCCTTAGCTCATCAAAGCCATACTCATAAAAATAATACTAAAAATAAGAAAACGAAAAATTAACTTCTTTAAGAAGGCAAGATGTAGAGTGGAATCTTGTATTTACCTGCCTCATTTTTGAGAAATATAACACTTAAATACGTCTCTAACAGAAAATATCTTTAAGTACTGCTTGTTAATTTAAAATAATTTGTACATTATATTCACTTTATGATATAAAATATTCTGCTTCTATATATATCAGATGGCAGGATATTAATAGGTATTCCAAAAGTTTACTTTTGAAGAGTTGACTACTGTGCAAATTTCCTTATAAAAATGTTACAAATGGAGTCAATCTGATACAAAAAGTAAAATACTAATGACAGAACTTCAACCAAAATTTGTTAACCAAGTCAAAAGAAAAACACATGCTTGGCTCTAACTGCAGACAAAGAAGCAAAAGGGCGGTGACAAAGGTGGCTGACCCTCTTCCTACTACCCATCTGCCTTTCCCCTTCACCTATCGACAACATTCATTAGATCTGGGTTTTGTGACTTGCAGACTAGTGATTTTCATTAAAGAGCTTGCCCTCTTTTATTTATTTATTTATTTATTCAGCTGAGCCATCCTGCCACCTGTTGGCAGCTCAGCGGCTGCTCAGCTCTGGCCGGGAATCGAACCGCTGTTGCTCAGAGCTCAAACTCTTGAGTGGGCTCTTAATCAACTGAGTCACTTGGCCGGCCCAAGCTTGTCCTCTTTTAAAAACAAAGCATTGTCCAAAGTCCATTCCCTTGGGAAACTATTGATTTTAATGTTGTTGTTGCTCTAAATTTTGTTGTTGTTGCTGGAAATTTTTTGGAAATATGAAGCCACTTTACAAGTTCTGCTAGAAAAGCCAATAATTACTTTACAGTTCTCTCTCATATCTACCAATACTACTGTCCAGAAGGTAATCAAATCAGTTAGCTCAGATGACTTCGGTGAACACAGTTTTTGCTAAAAGCCTGTGAACAGGGGTTGCCAGATGGCTCAGTTGATTAGAGTATGTGCTCTTAACAACAAAGTTGCCAGTTTGATTCCGGCATGGGGTGGTGGGCTGTGCCCCCCCTCCCCACCCCAGGCAACTAGATTAAAAACGGCAACTGGATGGAGCTGAGCTGCGCCCTCCACAACTAGGATTAAAGGACAACAACTTGACTTGGAGCTGATGGGTCCTGGGAAAAACACTGCTCCCCAATAAAGTTAAAAAAAAGAAAAAGCCTCCAAATAGGTCTTGCAAGAGATTCTTCACAAAAGGGCACGGATAAATTTTATGTAAAGTAAAAATTAAAGAAATAAAAAACAGAAAACATTTCCAGGGAGGTTAGCACTACATTTTACATACAATCCATTTGGATACATACAGTTTTTATACATTTGTTATAAATAACATTACTTTATAATCAAACATATAAAAACATGATTAAAATACATCACATAGTACACTTTTAAGTATGTGTTAATTGTGTATCCATTAGTTCTGAATAAAGCTTAAAAATTCTAAATTTGCATCTTAGAAAAATGTTAATAAAAATAGAAAATATCTATCAAATCAATAGTACAAAATGATATGAATTAAGGTATTTCAAGGGGCTTAAATTCTACCTTGAAGGATGTGTAGTATTTTATTAGGCAGGAGATCTTTCTAGTCCAGGAGAAGTCAAGCCTTCAAAATGAAGTCAGATGTGTTAAGGGCAGAGATCATACAAAAAATCAGGCTGGAGGTAACAGGCAGGGTGAGCGAGGCTAAGGAATCTGACTATTATCTGTGAGTCTGAGGAGCCATTCTGTGTTTCTGAGCTGTCTTGGAAACATTGAACAAATATCAGTGAAAGACACTGGAGTCTGGCAGTACTATATTGAAACCAGAGTCTAGACTGATGTGGTGGCAGAGGGAACTGAAAGTGAGACATTTTAAAGGTTTTGGTGACAAATAGATATCAGGTCATAACACTAAAATGGATCCAGGTACCTACCTGAGTAAGCTCATAGGCTCTGTAAGCCAAAAGTGATGTAACTCTACTGGCATTCTTCGACACGTGACATTCATGCTTTGGTGTTGGGTCCAAAGCACTTTTACTAGATTCCAAATTTTTTACACCCATGGGATCATATATACTCTTTATTTTACCCTAAAATAGAGAAAACCTTTTAAGTCCACCCAAGCCTTATTGACTATATGAAATTAATATTATAGAATACTTCTTTGAAAACAGATCACCTACAACAACAGTTGTTTTTTCCTTTACTACCTGGCAGTCAAGTAACACCCAACAGTTTTTACCAATATTGAGGCAGAAGAAAAAGTTAACCATGAAAAAAAAGTGGTATGAATTTATTTAGTAACAAGGAAATAAAAATTTTATTCACAACACTCTTCCCTAGCCTAAATGGCATTACCAACATATTACCCTCCTTTCTTGATTCTTTTTTTTTTTTTTTTTGGAAAGGAAAGCAAACTCTGAAGTACAGTAAGCTTAGATCAAAGATGGCAAACCACTCTCAAAAGTATCTTTATATACCAAACACAAGCAGGCACTGTTTTAATTTAATCAAATTCCTACCGATAAGATCGACTAAAACCCAAATCAAATGTTGTCTTTGACATATGAAATGTAAAAGTTAAAATTACCTTCATTATTTTAAAAATAACAACATCACCCATTGACCCAGCTTCCAAAGGATTAGCTTGTAACAGATCAGCATACCTAGAAAGATAGATACCTAGTAAAGAAGGAAAATTTTTAATTTGAATAAGGACACGAATTCAAAAAAAAAAATCCAAATATTTAACCTAATGGTAAGAGATAAACGGTATGACACCTTTTTAAAAAAATGTAATGATAGTAAATATAGCTAATATTTAACTAAAGCAAAAATAAAACCAGAAAACATGAAACTAATCAAATTCTTCAAAATCACTAGGACCAGACTAAGAACAACAAAAACAAAAGATAATTTTTGATCAATTTGGAGCATGCAAAATCAGAAACTAAGGATAAAGCTGGTTTTAAATTGCAGAACCTAAAATTAGTCTCCTTTTCCAGGAACATGACAACACATATATGAATTTAATTATAAGGATTATAGCAAAATAAGACAATATATTTTTAAATAGCAACTTAATAGTAGGTAAACAACAAAAAAGATTACCCATGGAAGGACTGCCAAGAATTGTTATTTTGGACTGGCCCACCTGTAATCCTTTTTCACATATGCTTTGAACCTATATAAGCAAAACACTTCATCTTACAATCATAATACATTAAAAGTGTGAAAAGATCATTTGTAAACTTATCTGAAATAAAATCTAAGCTTCTAAACTATGTATTTTCTACATTACAGAAATTTTCTATATATGCCAGTTTATAACTAAATGTGAAACTGGCTTGCGCTTCCAATGTACCATAGCTGAAATCCATTTTTGTTTATGCTAGATGTGACAGATACTCAGAATTCATGTCACTCATATGTAAACATCCCGTTTAGAGAGAATTAGAACTGGTAAAAATTTAAAGAGAAAGTAACTCCATCTAAAAATCTTCATTTAAAGGAGAAAAAATAGTCCCCAACACTTATAATCAACAATATAGAAAATAATTTATTTTAACAAAGGGAAAATTATTCATTATCAAGCACATTCTAAGGGAAGAAAATCGGTTTGGTCAGAGAAAAAACGAGCATGTTTGAAAAACAAATCACAAAACAGTGAAATACCTTTGCCCTACTAAATCATTTCTTCTACTTACACATCAAGAAAATGTTAGTTTATAATTATCAAGTGTACTGTTGAGTAATTGCAAAATTAGTAACTTACAGTGGGAACAACCTCAAATTGTTTTTTATAAAATGGGATCACTCACCTGATATCGATCAACCATCAGAAATGCATAGAATTCTGCAAGTTCCTTATCTGAACGACCATCAAACTTCAGCTCTCTTCGCTTTTCTGTAAACTAAATGAAATTAAATCTATAACAACTCCATAGCATGTGATTACATTTTTCAAGCTAAGAGCTTCAGGAATTTTATTTCTAAGAAATTCCAAATCTACCAAAGTGGAAATTAACTTTTCTCTCCCTGTAATTTCTGTGCTTCTATTTATTTCCCGTTAAAATTGGCTCTTTAGTTTTAAAATACAGTCAAATAAGCATGTAGTGTTTATCAATTTTAACTAAATTTCTATTAAAATTTTACTCCAACACTCCCATAGATTTTTAAGCTCATGTTTTAATTATCTTTGGATCTCTCATTTTACTTAACATGGTACACTGCATAGAGTAAGTGGTTTAATAAATTTCTGTTGAATGCCCAACTTCTAGACTATAAACTCAATTAGGACACGGAAAAATGTTTCATTTCTTTATAACTGTATTCTCAATGCCAACTACATAAGACATGTTCCACACGTATTTTCAGGATAAAAGAGTAACTTGGTCTAAGTACATCTGAACTATAAGTCACCCTAAACTGCTAGCTTTCACTTTTAGATACAAGCTGATAGATATACATTCAAAATATAGAGCCAATATCTAATAGATTTACATGTAGTAATCAGGTCATTACTGATCCTCAATAATATAATTAGAGAATCTATAGACTAAATTTTCATGTAAAATTAACAAATAATCTCTATACCACAAAACCACATCAAACTACCAAGTTTTTAATTTTTGTTGGGGGCCAATAACATTTATTCACTTTAGGGATCCTTTCAAAGCTAAATTCTGCTGGCACTGAGTCAACCAACTTAAAAAGTACAAAATTAATAGTATTTCATATACATTAGAAAGCAACATACACATCAAATATTTCTAAACATCTCATTTGTATTACCTCAGAATTACACATGTTGGCTTTTCCTAAATTGAAACTCAAAGAATATTCTAATATGTATATGAACTATAAATTCACTAACATGCTTAACTGTTCCCCTATGCTTGCACTTTATATCACTAAGAATTTCATCTAACAAGATAATTCAATCATCAGACAATAACTGGTAAAAAAAAAAGCATATCCTAAAAAAGAAAAATACACAATTATCTTACAATTTAGATATAACATACAATTAGAGATTCCATTTAATTAACATGCATTTGAAAGAGCAAAAAGCCTTGTTATGAATTTACAATTAAGTTGTTATCAATAAGCTATGCCTATGCTTAAGATTCATTTTTAGTAAAAGTTATTTTACATAATCAATCACACATTAACTTAACAGAGCAGATAAATATAGTGGGTATATCAACAATGTTTGGGAAAAAAATATCACTTAAAACTTGTTTTCCCTTCTATAATTTGGCTTTCCTAAAAACTTTAGCATTTTTAAAGAAAAGTAAAATAAATTCCAAGCTATTAACTGACTCTGTAGAATCTTACAATAATCACAATTTAAAACATACCTCCTTTTCCAAAAGCTCATTATGTACTAAGCAAGCACATTTGTAGTTAAAATTTGTTACTGAGGTTGGTTCAAGGTAAGATGAACGGAGAATATGCAAAACATCTTCAAATTCACGAGATCCTGAAGTTAATAGCTGAAAAAGTGCTAAAATTAAAAAACAAAAACAAAAACATTTACTTTAAGATTATTCCATCTTAAATGTAATTACTTGCATTTTTGTGGGCTTGTTAATGTAACTTTTTTTTTAATTAAGTAAAAAAAGGCTTCAAGGCTACGGATTACTGGCCTAATAAACCTTAAATTTCCAATTATGCATGAAATAGTTTAACTTACTAATACATTGCAAATATCAAATAACAAATTTTCCCAAAACCAAAGGAACCACTTATTTTTCACTGTAGATAACTTGTTATACTTTATTACCATTCTTTCAAGATACTAGTCAATAAATGTCACAATCAAAATACTTTTGAAAAGTGTTCTTATATACTCTTAAAGGTACTAGACAGAAGCTAACAGCTGTTTTTACTGTATTTCCTATACATAGTGGGCTTCAAAGGACATGTCAAGTGATAAATTCATTCATCCACTCATTTACCAACACACACATACAAAGGGTGCCAAAAAAATGTATACACATTTTAAGAAAAAAACTATTAAAATTGTAATACTCAATATATGCCGATAACAAAAGATGAATACAAGGAACAAAAGATGAATACGTCACGTTTGACTTCTGCAATTACAAGAAGTGATAAAAGTGGATACCATCAGCATAATTCTAATACAGTTTTTTCCTTTCTTAAGTGTGCTTATTTTTTGGCACCCTCAGTGTATGTGTGTGTGTGTTTGTAAAAATGTAGTTTTCAATGACAGAATGTGTGTAGAACAAATGGTTACCACTACTGTGGGATCACACACTAAAATAAAACTTTTAAAAAAGGAGTAACGCCAACTAGTTATAATGGAACAAAAACCCTAGAAATAAGCAGGGAAAAAAAAAAACACTTAAAAAACCCCTACTAAACACAAGTATCCTATAATCAAATTTGTAGCAAATCAACATATTGAATAATCTATTGATTGTAAGCTCCATGAGAGCAGTAACTATGTGCTTTGTTCACTACCCTATCTTTACCATGCCAGAGTTAGAACTGTGAGCTCTTGTCGCAAGTAGACTGAACAATTGAATAAATGAGTGAAAATGAGAATAAGTTTTTTTAATAAAATGTGATTTTTAATTGTTGTCATTTTAAATTAATCTCACACATTCAACAATTCAATAATGTATAAAACAAAAAGCTCAAAAAAAGAGAAATACAGTTTCAATTCAAATCTGTTTTATAAGATGTGTTAAGAAAAAATTTTGCTTTGTGACTGCTCCCAACTAAATTGGAAAATCTTGGCAAAAAAAACATGTGGAATAGTTTTCATAGGCTTTCCCATCCAAATGGGCCAAGCATGATTTTAAAAGTTGGGTTTTATGCAGGATTGACTTGTGTGTTTCTAAACTAACAAAGTGACTTTAGATATCTAAAATGTGCCAAAAAGGAGTATCATATGACTTCAAATTTCTAGGAAATTTTACAAGTCTACATAAATTATTTTCCTTAGTTAAGCTGCCCTGACACTAATTCTACCATCAATCTAATCTTAAGTGAAAAATTAAGTTAAATCATATAAATATATATAGCAATTAACATTCAAGTTAGTCTCAAAAAAGTACTTAACATTTGCTTTACCCAAAGTAACATCCTAAAGTGTCAAGTCAAATGTACACAAGTAGAGGTGTCAATAGAAAAAAAAATTAATGTGAACGAAAATATAGGAGAAGGTGCAAGATTTTAGGCCTAAAAATAAACCATGTCCTGGGTATTTTACATTTTAAATGCCTCAATTAGCTTTACTAGTTCGGCCAGCTACAATTTCTACTTTTTCTTCCCAATTATCATTTCTACAAAAATAAAATTATGCTGTAACAATTTTTAAACATTCAAGTCAATGTGTTGGTAGTGGTAGTTTGGAAGTTTTTAACAAGTGTATGTTCTGAAGGGACATTCCCTGATGGTCTATTTTGTCCTTAATAATCCTTTCAACACTGGATATGCCATAATCAACAATCCTGTCACTTCTTTTACAGAAACATATATACATCTTTAATTATGGCTCATTATTTGAAACAATAATAAACACTGTGACTATCCAAATGGGGAACAGAACATTTTATGTATTTTCATTTCACTTAAGGAAGTCAGTATCCAATATATTGTTCTCCAGACTGTGACAATTATTGAGTCTAATAATTAGTGTGTCATTACTACTTTTCAGATACTGTACTAAAAGCTTTACATGCATTATTTCATCATCTAATCATCAAAACCAACCTATGAAGTTCATTATGCCCATTTCACAAATGAAACTGAAACAGCTAAAGTTAACTTCCCCAAGGTCACACAGTTAATAGGGCAGCTGGGATTCAAATTAAGGCTGCCCAAAGCTCCAAATCTTGTATCCTGAACTATAAGTAAAAGATGTACATGTGTGTATAAGAGCTGAAACTTATCATTCCAAGAACTGGAAATATATAATTTTTTCCTCATTTTTGACCAATCATACAGAGCACTTAGACATAGGAAATTAGCTATAAAACTAAGAATTTGATGTCTAGGATTATACTATTTTTACCCTCTTGTCTATCTTCTCTCAACTCTCTTTCCTTAAATATTTCTCATTTTAATGCACTTAACAGGGCCAAAAGCCATGACCTTTTGGTTTATAAAGGTTAATGGCAGTAACAATAATTTTTCCACACATTAAGAAATATATAATTTTGCTTATTTACAGGATTTCCATCAAATGGATGTCAGCAAGATGACTGAGTTGATTTCTGGTCATAATTTACAAGGTTGCCCTATCAACAAAACTGATTATAGATGTGTTTAATACGACTGAATTTAGAAAGACACTTGGAAATTTATAATTCAGATGAGGAAACTGATTTTATCAAAGAATCAGAACTAGACTCAAGGTCTCCTGATTCCCAACCATACAATCATTTTTTAAATATTTTTTATTACTGGTAGCATATAAAACATACTCAAGAATTTAATATTAAACAATTGGAATAAACATAAAATATAGATCATCAAATAGTAGCTTTGTTCCTTAATCAAAGGAACATTTTTCCTCCACTACTTTTACCAATTTATTGTCAATGTGTTTGTATTAAGATAGTGTATATGTAAAAAAAATTATCATTTATACATATCCACAACAACAAACTTTTAAAATAAAAGATGGACCACTGTTATCAAAACATACAGATAGGTAACATGAAACACACATTACAATTTAAAGTAACTCATGGAATAAAAGGAAATAACAGAGGCTGGGGATCACATGTGGTGTGCAATTCTCTCTGAATCCATCTAACGTCTACTGGTATTAAAATACACTGAATATCCATTTGTTCCTCAAAATATTTTAAAAATCACTTTTCTTCAGTCTAATAAAATTGCTACAGCCTTAATACTTTAGGAATGGTGTTTCACCTCTAAATCAAAGTTGAACATACTGCAGAATTAGGAATGAATATGACGGTATTGACTTTTTTTGGATTGGGGAATAAGTCAAAGAAAATTTTACCTCCACTACTTAGAAATTATATGCACTTATCAACATTTTATGTGCATGACTGGATTGTCTACACTTTCCTTCTCAGGTTTACTTCTATGTAGGGAAATCTATGGTACTCAGAATCTAGTCATTCATCTACAACTACTGAAACACCATTGAGACTTCCTTAAGAAGGAGATTTTGCCCTAAAGTCTTCAAACAGACAATTGCAAATTTTGTGGCTGTTGGGGAGAATTAGCCATGAACCAAATCAGTATGGATGCAGGTGTATGACAGACCAAGTAATGAAGAGCAGTTAGTGTTGTGCCCTACAGAAAACATTAGCCACAAAACATTTTCCAGAGGTGATTTCCCAAAAATTTGGAGGGAAAAATTATATCAAATATAATTACCAATTTTAACTCACTTTTGATGACTTATAGTATTTGATTTTAGAGTAAATGAAGGCAATAGTGAAAAGTGTACTGACAAAATACAATTCTACAATTTGGTTAAATGTAAGAACAGTGCCTCTTTACATTACTATAGAAAACAGCACAGCCAATAAATAACGCAACGTACATCAGAGTAAAATTTTTCTCTTCCAGTCAATAGTTAGGTCACTTAATCTGTCAGTACTGACCAAATATTTTGATTTTATAATGAACATAATCTCAAAATTCCACAGGAATGAAGACATACTAAGTATTTCTGAATTCAAGAGGTTAAAAAAACTTTTTAAAATAGGTCAAATAAAAAGCTAAATAAAACCCTTATATTATAAAAAAGTCTTGCTACAGTTTGAGTACTGACAAGAAGTATTCTACACCTAGATTCAAATTCCAACTCCACCATTCATTAGCTGTGTGACCTAGGGCAAGTTATTTAACCTCTCAGTACTTCAGTTTCCTCATCTATAAAATCCAAATACCTACCTCGTAGTATTGTTGAGATTTAGTTAATACATGCCAACTGCTTAAAATAATGCCTACAACTTATTAAGCACTATAAAGTATTTGCCAATATTACTTAGAATGGCAGTATTCTATCGTCAAGACCAAGAACTTTGAATGAACCAGTTATCTGCTAGTATTTAAGTTACCAAAAATATTCAAATCCTAATCTTAAACTTCACTGGAAAAGAATAGCCACAAGCAAAGGTCTGCCATATAAAATATGAGTGCAACAGAATCTTTGATACAGAAAAGTTCAAGCAGAGGTATCTACTAAAAATGATCTACTTGTGGTAAGACCCAGATGTCTACAACTAATACCTAGCCAAATCCTATACATAAAGAGATAACTTCCAAGCCTTCCAAGAGATGATTTTGGAATGAAGTGTGAAAACTAGCAGTACCTACTGCACTGTTTCTGATAAAGCATTTTTTTTAAATAATGAAAAGTTGAATTTTTCTACTAAATCCTACCGCCAAGTACTAACTTCTCTCAGCTTGGACAGGATAAAGTCCATGGTGGTAAAATAGCTGTTTATTTAAGTTTTAAAGGCTCTATTTAAATCATTATTGGACTATTTGAATAGTTGCTGCTCTGTGTATAAATATTTAGACAAGTTAGAAATTACTCATTTTCACTAAACATGAATAGTCCATTGTGTTATATTTTCCTTATCCACCTCTCTGACAAGAGAAAGGTAACAACCTTTTGTCTCTAAATGAAAATGAAAAATCCAAATTTTCCCCTAGGAGCATCAGACTAGGAAGAAAACTAGGTTTTATATTTCCTAATTCCTCAATCATTTCCACTTTTAGTGTGTTCAAATGAAGTCTATTTTTCAGTAGCCTCACAATTTATCTAGTTTTTTAAAAAAGACACACAAACACAATGCCTTCCCTCACCTCCAACCAAACTATAAAGATCGCTAAGCCAATTTTCTGATCTTATCCAAGTTAACACGTGGTACCTCGTGGTTTATGATACTAAACCATATTCTTGGGCATTTAAACCTAAAAAAAAAAAAATGGGACTTCAAAATGTTATCAAACTGAAAAAGTAAAATTTAATCTCCTACCTACCTCTATTACCAAAGCCCATCTGAGTGTACTTTCAACCTCCTCTTTACCAACTTATAATTTTGGCTGGGCATCTAACTTTCCTCATACAGACTATACATCTTAACTAAATAAACCAAAAGACTTGACAACCTTGATCATTACAAGTGTCCTCTTAAACCCTAAAATATATTACATTAACTCAAAGATATTTCTAGAAACAGTCCTCGTGCTGGTGAACAAAAGGTAACTTCATTTTTCAACATGGTTTCTCACACCAAGGATTTCCTTGGCTTTGTCTTTCAAAAAGAAATTAACAGTTTGACTTTATTTGTAACTGATAAAAGGCTCTAACAATTTCAATAGTGCAAATGGAGCTGGTTATGCATAGGGAAAGAGGAAGCACATGCTTCCTTCCAGATTCTAAGTCTTCACTAAGACTCAACTTACAAATAAAAAAGCTTTCTGTAAATAAAAAAATTCCCATAATTTTCCAAAATAAATGACAAACTGAACCACGAGGTAAAACAAAAAGATGCTTTAAATTGACTAACTCCAGAATACCCCAACTCACTGGATAGTCAAAAATAGTATTGTAATAAGAGAAAACAGTAATAATTTTGATCTCCATTAGAAATGTGTAACAATACAGCATTAAGTTTAAAAAAGGTAAACGTAGTTCATGTAACTGTTCCCATATTGGCTCCAAAAACTAGACTGGACTTTTTTCATCTTAAATTCTCATCTGCAGTATCAAATTCGTGAATCTTGGGCATAAGCTAACCTCTCCTTACTTTTTTTCCATAAGGAAATTACTGCACCAAGAACCTACCTTCCCATTCTTCTCAGAGACAATTAAAAAATACACTGAAGTTTGGATTTAAAGAGAGAGAGACCTATTTAATCGAACGCTTCAAAAACAAGAAAAAAAATCTACATGGAAATGAAGTGTGATGGAAAACAGCAGTGTGCATGGATCACATCAAATGGAGATTTCTAAAAAAGGGAAGACGCTGACATCGAGCAAATTTCAAGTAGACACATATAGCTGAAGAAATTTCCACAGGGAGAAGCACTTGTGGTCCTCCGAACGCAATGGCCTTGGAGAAAGCTCCAGAATCCATGGCCACGGGCTATTTCCACAGTGAGACTTCTCAGAAGCATCCTTAGGAGGACACATCAGCTTCTCTGCCTTCAGAGGTTGGGAAGGAGGGGCGCCGAGCACCATCTTTCCTCTCTGGGAGCTGCAGCCTTACGGACAAGCTTCAAACCTGAGCTACTTCCAACTTCCACGGGGAGAGGGAGAGCAGGGGAGCGTGCTTCCACCGCTTTCCTCTCGCACCAAGCGCAGCAGCTGGGCGGCCGTGGCAGTGAGGGGAGAAGCGCCTGGCGCTGCATGCGTGTTTACGTGTCTCGGATGGGCGTGGGAAGAAGACAGAGAGATTCTAATGAAAAGATGGAGGGGAAAGAGAAAGAGGGGTTGGGGAAGAGGGAAGCACCACCTTTCTTTTCTCTGCTCTTCCTGGGGATCTGAAAACTCCTCCTAAGGGGTCTTTCGGGCTCTTCGGGGCCTTTGGGCAGAGCGGCCGCGCCCGCCTCAGAAGAGTCCTGAGGCTGCTCTTGGCAGAGGTTCGGTGTGGCCTCGGCCTCCACGGTATCCTCAGGCCGGCCGCCGCCGCCGGGCTCCGCGATGCTGAGGCCGCCGCCGCCGCAACAGCCGCCATTTTGTGGGGAAGACTCAAACTCCGGAAGCGCCTGCTTCATCTCCTCATCTCCGCCGCCGCCACCGTCCCAGCTCGCGTCCGTCGGCGGAGAGGCTTCCATCTCCACAGCAGTCGCCATCACGCCGGCGTGAGGAGCTCCGGGAAGCTTCTGCCAACAAGGTCGACGGGGGTGGGGGGAAGGGGCGGCGGGCCGGCCTCGCCACCGAGCTGCTCTCAGCCCACCCACCCCCTTCCCCCCGTGGCCGCAGGCCGCACTCCCGACCCAGGAGCCTTTCCGGGGCCCCAAAGCGGGCGCCCCAACCTCGCGGCCCTGCCCCAGGAGCTGCTCCTCGCCTGCACAGTCCTTCGGTCGCCCCTGCCACTCAACGTGCTCGCGTCTGAGCCGGGGGCGGGGCCACTACGGGCCTCTCCGCCAATGGGGGTGCGGCTCCTGCCTCTGCGGGTGAGGATAAGACCGCACCGCGGGGCGGAGCCTCGGGACGCCTGAGCCCGCCAAAAGGGGCAACCACAACGCCCCGCGAGTATCTCGACGCCTTGCCCGGCTTTGTGGTGAATGGGCCTCCAGGCGAGCTGCGAGTTCCGGGACCGCGCCTGACCAGCACTGCAGGAGAGGGAGGTGCGCCCCGCTAGGTCCCCGCAGAGCAGGCGTCGCCTGTTTCGGGGCAAGATTATCTTCTCTGCGCAAGAGTTACTCCGGCCAAAGCAGGACTCAAAACAAGTGTGGGCGCTGGACTGTCCAGGCCTTGTGAAATACATGCATGCATTTAAAAGCCTAGAGAAGAGATACGAGAATGGGCTGCAGCCATAAAAGCCTAAAAGCCTCCGGCTGTCTTCTTCAAGGTGCCATTCTCACTGGATCTTGCATCTTTACAATATATTGCTCCCACTTGCTCCCCCTCTTTTAAAGTTAGAACCTGTGGTACTCCAGCAAGCAGTAAATACCTGGGATCCTTTGATATGACTTCACAGCCTAGGGTTAACAGGATTTGGTTCTGGTGAGCTGGAGGGGAGGGGAGGCTGTAGCTTTTACATTTTTTTTTCTTTGGTGTCTTCAGATTTCCTATAGTGAGTGTATACTAAAGAAAAATATAAACGTTTGCAGCAACATTAAAAATATACAGCAAGTGGTTCCTTCAAATAATCAAGTGGAAGGCCTTTTAAATAGTGTATTCTGACTAAGTTGAAACTACTATTGTGGGTTGTTCTAAGTGGACAGTATTTACTGGGTGCATTCTTTTGGGTTGTTGGAAAAGTCATGATGCATTTTTGCAACGAAAAACAGAAAAAATATCTCATGACATTTCTGACAACCCAATATATTCCAGGCACTGGAGAAAGCACTTTACATGTATTATCTCCATTTAACTCTCATGACAAACATCAGGGAGATACCACAGGCATACCTATTTTTATTGTGCTTCACTTGATTGAGCTTCACAGATGTGGTTTTTTTACAAATTGAAGGCCAGACCCTCTACCGGCAAAAAGATTACAACGGGCTTTATTGTGGTGGTCTGGAACTGAACCTGCAATATCTCTGGGGTATGCCTGCATTATGCACAATTTAAAATACATGTTTAAAGACATTGAATAAATTAACAAAATCAGAATTTGAAGTCAGGTCTATTTAACTCCAACAGAAAGAACTTGCACTTGACTACTTCTCTAAGACATCCTCACAGCAGCTCTGCACTTTTATGCATTAGGAAGAAATGAGGATTGACATCTAGTTCAGTATCCCAGCAGCAGGATAAGGACTGGGACCCAAATCGCTGTTCTGAAACTCTGGCTCTCTACTAAGGAGTTGACTGACCAAACCTATAATCAAACTCTAGGCCTTGCCACGTGACTGCTACTTAAAGAACACCCGCAAGGGCAATAAGAGAGTTGGATTTCTATGTCCTGTGATAAGTATTATCTCTGTTTATGGGAAAGCTATTCATGGCTTTCCCAACCTATTTGAATCAACTGAGTAAATGGAAGGAAAGTGAGTGTGAAACAATTATTTTATTAAATAGAGGGGGCATAAATTTGCTCAATTCCACCTATCTCAGGAAAACAAACACAGTGATATACAGAGGATATGTGTTTTTATATGTGTGCATATAGATATCCAGTATATATGGTGGAGGGGGAGGTACAAGAGAAAGAGCTACCACAGATGTACATGGTTCTGAAGCATTGGCTACCAAAGGTTAAAAGTATAAAACTTATGTTGTCCCCTACCCACCACAACAACACAAGGAACAATAGACAACAATATTATACAGTATATAATTAAATATCCAGGGACCACAATCATCTTTTTAAATTTGGAAACAAAAATAATCTAGTTTAACTCCTCATTTTAAAACTAGGAAAGGACAGTGACCCAAGATCACATGGCAAACTAATAATTATAATTAACATTCACTGATCACTTTCTATGTGTCAGCCACTGGTATAAGAGAATTACATGTTTTGTCTCAATCCCCACACAAAGTACTAATGTTATCCCTATTTTACAGATAAGGAAACTGAGGCAAACTGCTTATTTAACTTTCTTAAGGTCATTTAGATTGTAAGGGGCAGAACTAAGATTCTAACCCAGGCAGTCTGCCTCCAAAGCCCATGCTCTTAACCAGTATATGCTAACCTCTTTTGTGATCGGCAAACCAAATTCAGAACTCAGTGCATTTTCCACTATGCCATTTCACCTCCCTTCCTCAAACAGTACGTTAAAAGACAGGATATAGGGCCGGCCCAGTGGCGCGACGGTTAAGAACTGGCTTGGGACGCCAGAGGGCCCCGGTTCGGATCCCACATATGAGGGCCAGTGACATTGCCCTCCACAGCTAAGATGCTGAACAACAGCTCAACCTGGAGCTGGGCTGGACTGCCATGGATTGCCGGCAACAGCGTAGGCTGCAGCCCCTGTGGCAGTGGGTTGCCATGGGCTACTGTGTATAGCCAGCAGCCAGCGTGAGCAGCCAGCGGCCAGCAGCCAGCGTGAGCGGCCAGCAGCCGCAGTGAGCGGCCGTCCAGACGCCGGCAACTGATCTGCCTCGCCTGGAAAGAGCGCAGTGATGTTGCCAATTTGGGCCAGTGAAGCAACGTCCTCCACAACTAGACTGAAGAACAAAAGGAAAGCAACTTGTCTGTTCCCCTTCCCCCAATTCCCCAATAAAAATCTTTAAAAAGAAAAAAATAAAGACAGGATGTAAATGGTACAACTCAGCAATTAATTATCAGTATTACTGATGCATAAACCTTTAACCTCACAATTTTACTTCTAGAAATGTATAATACAAATATACATACTCATCCACATTCGAAATGTTTATTCAGGGATATATAGTGTTTTGTAACGAGATATCAGGTGTTGTTTGTAATAGCAAAGGACTGGAAACAACCTAAATATAATAGTGTATATCCATACAATGGAATACTATGCAGCCATAAAAAAGATTGAAGTAGTGATACATGCTACCACATGGATGCACATTGAAAACATTAAGTAAAAGAAGCCAAACCCCAAAAGACATATATTGTATTATTCCATTCATATGAAAGTTCAGAATAAGCAAATTCATGGAAACAGAAGATTGGTGGTTACCAGGGGCTGGAGAGAGGAAGAAATGAGCACAGACTGCTAATGAATATAGGATTTTTTTGTGGTGATGAAATATTCTGCGACTAGATGTTAGTTGCACAACTTTGTGAATATACTAAGAGCTGCTGAATTGTACCCTTTAAAAGGATGGGTTTTATAATATATGAATTATATCTCAATTTTAAAAAATAGAGGACCTTTGCATTCCCTGAGGACAGAGACTCCAAGCAGCAGACTCTCCCCGCCAATGGCTTTGAAGAAGCAAGCTGCCATGAATTCTACAGCTGCCAACAACTTGAGAGCACTTAGGAGAAAATTCTTTCCTACTGAGTGTCCAGGTGAGAATGCAGCCCAGCTGACACCATGATTTCAGCCTTGTGAGACCCAAGGACAGAAACCAGCTAAGCCATGCTCATGCTCCGACCTACAGAAACTGTGAGGTAATACATGAATTGTTTTAAGCCACTAACATGGTGGTAATTTGTTATGCAGCAATAGAAGGCTAATATAGAGGTTACAACATGCCTAGCATTTTCTAAGTGCTTTGCATATATTTAATTTTCACAAGAACTCTGTGAGGTAGGTAGGTACTCACGTTATTCCCATTTTTTCTGATAAAAAAACTCATTATGTGCTTTAAAAAAAAAACAGAATGGGATGGATAGAATGTTAGTATTTGTACCAAAAAAGGGGAAATACAGTTAAATTTATACACCTATTTGCATTCAACTTTTGTGGAAGGCTACATAAGTAATTAGCAACATTGGTTGCCTATGGAAAGGGAATGTGCTGGAAGACAGAGGTAGGAGAGACCTTTCACTTTATATCCTTTCATACTCTAAAGCACATGAATTTAGTAAAAAACAGACAAACAAACAAAATTTTAAAAAGGAATGGAAAGAAGATAAAGAAAAGCATTCTGAGAAGCAGTTGTCATTACTCAGTAGCTCATACAAGAGTGAAACAGTAATAATCCAGAAAGCCAATACAGAAATTTTAGAAAGGTTCCTATATTTCAATATACAGGAATTATAGACTTCCACATGCTAATCAAAGCAATTAGGTAAGTATATAATTAGAGTTCTAGTGAAACAAAAGTGTTAATAGTACCTTTGAAGTGAATGAAGTCACTAATAAGATTTGATAGTAACAAGAATCCTTAACATTTGCAAAGCAAATTCTTGTGTTCTTTTTTCAAGTAAAAGATGTTATTTGAAGCCCACATATACCTTGAACCTTCAAACCTTCAAGGTCATGCAGGTAGAAAGCTTTTGCTTTGTTTTTGGACATTTCTGTTGAAATGCAGTAGTAGAGAAAGATAATAAAGGCAAATCAACGAAACCACCACTAATAGATCCAATTCATAGAACTTTAAGGATCTTAGAGATTAAGTAGTCTGATCCATTCATTTTAATTAATAAAGATAGTATTACAAACCTACAACCTCATTGCCTATTCAGATGCATTAAAAAATATATAAAACTCTCATTCCTTCCATTATGCTTGAACTAAAACAATAATTCTACTTCCATAGAGTCATCTTCTTTCCCCAAGGAGCTTATCCTGTTGCTCATTGAGCAGGTATTTCTGGGGTGTGTCCCAAGGAAGTATAAGAAAGACCCTTTACATTGGCAACAAACAGGGTTTGTTGTGTCTCGTGGATGATATGTCTGGAAGTCTTTCCATGCAATGAAGAGAAAGCACAAAAGGAATCCTCAGTTAAAATAAGAATATAGTTAGCGATAAGTAAGTATGCAAGTATCTCTGCAACTATACAAATGATTCTGGTAACCACAAATCTCAGCTGAACCCAGGATTCAAGAGCTGTTACTAAAGTTTAAGTTTTTGTTTCATTTTTGAGTCAAATCCTTCTAAGACTTCTGTTACATGTAATACCATGAATGAATCTCACAAGCATAATGTTAAATAAGTCAGACACAAGAGTGTATGTTGTATGATTCCATTTACATGAGTTCAAGGACAGATAAAAATAATCTATGGTAATAAAATAGTGGTTCCCTTGTGTGGAGGTGGGGGTGGGGGTGAGGGTGGCGGTGGTGGGAGGGTGTATTGACTCAAAAGGGAAAATAAAGAACTTTCTGAAATGATGGAAATGTTCTGTATCTTGCTCTAGGTGATAATTACATAGGCAGTGTATACATACATAAATATTTATTGAACTGTATGTTAAGAACTGGGCATTTTACTGTACGATGTTATTCTTCAATTAAACAACAAAAACAAAAGGAAACAAAATACTTCCACAGGTTCTCCTTATACAAGGAATAATAAAAATAAGAATTTCTCACGTGGCTTATAGAGACCCCTGCTGATTCTGACCCTTGTATATCTTTCTATGTCTGTTCCTCTTGTCCAAACTCCTCCTCTGTGCCTTGTCAGTCTGGCACACTTGCCAAGCTCCTCTGGCTATATGGCCAATGTCAGAACATGCTGTTTCCCCAGTGTACTGTGCTCTTCTCCTTACCATCCTCTTAGCTCCTGCATTTCCTTGTATAGGTTTCCTTGATCAACGCTTCCCATTCTAGTTTAGGTTACCCTCTTTGGTGTCCTCACAAAACCTTGCTCCTTTCACTCAGACTATTTACCTCCCACTTCCTTCGATCTGTAATTACTCTATCATTTGTGGGATTATTTAATTAAATCTATCTCTCTCACTAGACCCTATGCTCCACTTCATGGGCTAAGAGGTAATGTCTAGGTTTCTTCATTGCAATATTCTCTGGGCTTAGCACAGTGCCTGGAACACAATAGATGTGGCTATCAAATGGCCTTTAAATGATTTATACAAATTGGAAGTGCTTTTAATGTATTTGAGAAGACAGATGAACTTCATTTGCCAAATCCAAGACTTGTTGAATCAAAGAGATTTCATAATTGGGAGTGATTACTGTGTTATATCAGCTGCCTGACCAGCACAGACCTAGTTATAAGATCATTTACACAACTGCCATTTTCACCCAAAGGAAGACTCAGGCTGACACTAACTTCACGTTGTAGTTTGTGTAGTTTTCTAAGTTAAGGAGCATGGTGCCAAGGACATGAGTTACACAAAGAAGAAAATTCTCAAGAGGAAGTGGTACATTACAAAAGTGCATGCAAATAGTGGTGAAATGTGTGTGGGGGGGAAAATTTCAAATTAAAAGTGTCTTAGGTTTTATGTTTTTATAATAAAGGAGGGCAAAAGAAAGTTGTATAGGAATTCATGTTTTCAGAAGAGTAACACATATCACCGCTCAATTGGGAAGACTGTAAATAAGTTGGAGGAAAAGGAATAATACAGAAAGAACGTTTGAATAACTCCTTACAATTTACCAAATGTTTTATTCATTTTCTCAACAAATATTTCTTGGGACCCTGTCTGCTGCTACCAGGCTCCAGGCTGGGCCTGAAAACACACAGATCCATCCTGAGCCTGAGTTTATAGTCTGGTGCTTTCCATTACCTGGTTTAATCTTCACAGTAGCTGCTATAGAAACAATGCCACTTTTGGCAGGGGAGGAAATGGTGGCTAAACTGTTTTGTTGAAGGAAACAATACCAGTAAGTGATGGAGGAGGACTCAGATATGCATCTCTTTACTCCAATTTTAGGCTCTTGCAACTACATGAAATTCTACTTGCTTGTAGGCCTCTGGGATCTCTTAGTTGGTTAATCAAGGCTCTCAAGGGAAATAAAAATTATGAAGTTACAGTACTATGCATTTCGATCACTCCCCTAAGTATCATTTCTCCTCCCCTGTTTTATACCTCTATTCTTTGAGTGAATAGGAAACTTCCCACCAACTCCCTTACAAACACAGGTTTCTTCATTTTACTTTTCCTAAAGGCACCTGATAATTTGTAGGTGATTTCTGGACAGACAGAAGCAAATCAGTGATCTAATTTCCTTGACTAACAACTGAACTGAAAGCCCGTTTCCTTTTTATATCATATGATTCAGGTTATTGCTTTATTATTCACCGTATCAGAAAGGTACACAGACTTACTTTAACTTTGGATATTTTCTTCCTAATTCATAAAAGCCTAGTAATAAAAGATTTTTTAAAAAAGATTTTTTATTGGAGAATTGGGGGATGGGAACAGCGCTGGGGAATTGGGGGAAAGAGAACAAACAAGTTGCTGTCGTTTTGTTCTAGTTGTGGAGGACGTTG